ATAATAAAGTAATGAATTAATTTCTCTAGGCAAAATAAAATATATAGCTTAAATCAATATGTGGAACTTTGAAACCAGTTTCCACACATTCTCATCAAATCTACAATGTTTAATGCCAAAAAGAAGAAAAAATCTATTATAACCTCATAAACTACCTATTATATAAGGTGATCTGAAATTCAATATTACTATGAGTAACTAAAATCCATGATGCACTGGATCCTTTAATTTTTGGTAAATGACTCTTCATGATTTTTTTTCCCTTAGAAAAGAGAACATTCACGTCCTGTTTTAGAATACCAATTCCTTAAAATCCTAACAGAGTTATTTTATGGTATTATCATAATCATTCATTTAGCAATATGTGAAACACCATGCTAATATATTCAATCTCTGTATTCCAGCAACATCTTGTGTTTACAGGGATAAGACATGAGGTGCACCAGAAATACTACCATTTGAGGTCTCAGTTTTCAATATATTGGGCATAAGGAATTATAAGGTAAATACTTTCTCATCTTAGAAGGAAGAACAGAAGAAAATAGGCAAGAATAAAAAAAATGAACAATGTGAAGAATGGAGGAGAAACAGTCAAGTGAGAAGTGATGAGGATGGCAAAGGAAAGGAGAAGAAAATGGAATTAGAAAAAAAAAACCTTAAAAAATAAAGACAATAATTTGGTAAATTAAAAGATAGAGAGAGAGAGAGACAGAGAGAGAAAGAAAGCACATCTGGTGTTAGTCAATACCATGGTATTGATCTCACTGACTAAGCCACTCCTTGTGGACAGGGGCTGGGTGGTAGGGTGAGAGGGAGGAGAAGGGAAAGCTTGGCTTTAATGGGTCACCACATTCTGCATCCGTTCTGAATATGCTGGCTTCCCTTTTAAACAATACTTTCCTGTTGTTATGGGGTTGAAGGAACAAAAGGGTGAGGACAGAGTCAAAAAGGAGAGACTAGAGGTGAGAATAAGATAGAATAAGGGAGACAACTTTGAGAATTATATAAATGAAGTTAGAATGACCTTTCCAGATGATTCAATAGTTTTTTAATATGTTCTCCTTCCCCCAGCCCCCACTGCCACCATCTGCAAATCTTGTTGAGGAATTATTTACCATTTAGGGGGTAACAAAGACCACTAGCTCATAGAATTCATCTTCCATTTCTCACTAATCAGTGTCCAACATCCCAGCTATTTACTAATGTCTATCTTTTTTACTATCCCAACCTAGTTATTTTCCATTCCAGTAGCCTTATAAAGGCCACATATATTATAAAAGCCACATATATTAAACCATTTCTTGCCAGAAGGTAGTCAGGTTCCAGAAGACCTTTCAAAATAATAGTGAATATGTTTGAATATTTACACAAAATGAAAGGAAATTTTCCAAATGTTGGATTCAACCACCACATACCCCACTCCTTTTAACTGATATTTGTAAGAAGAAAATACTTGTTTTTAGTATGGATAGAATCTTTAAAACACTTACACACCAAAAACAGTATTAACATAAAATTTAACAGATTCATTAGGAATATGCCCAAATAGATTTATTAACTATAGTCTCATCAGCTAAAAAAACGTGTTAAAAGTGCATCATGAGGGCAGAGTTGCTGGTTCAAACTATGCCGAGGTATCTCCCAGAGAGAGGGATGTAGTGGCAGATGAAGTGGAAAAAATCTTGGGAGATTCCAGCAGCTGTGAGGAGTTGGATCTTCACTGGCGGGCAAGACATGCAATAGGACTCAGTCTGCTTTGCTTGGATGTTCATGATTTTTTCTTCTTTCTACCTGGCAGCCACAGTTTCTCAGCCACAGAAGTGTGTTGATTTGAAAAGCTTAAAAGCCATTTATAATAAAGAATATAGCAATATGAAAAAGGACATAAAACTTCCAGTTTCATTTCAAATAAGAAAATATACTTTTTAAAAAAAGAGCAAACTAGAAAACACATACACCTAATTGGACATCTTGAAGATATACCATACTAGCAATTTCAAAAAATAGTATTAGAATTCATCTGTGAGTTATTCAACTTTCTCATATCCTTAGGGAAAAATTTCAAATTGCTTTTCTATGGGTTTTAAAATAAGAAAAGTTGTCCGATTTTATATTGTACATTACTAACTTTAGCAGTAGAAAATTTTAGAATTACAGAAAAATACTAACTGAGGTAATAACATTCAAAATATAAGATTGAACATTACTCTTCATTATTAGGTCTAAATTGGTTTGGAACAATATTGGCAATATCTCACTATACTGGTCAATTAATCACTGGATTAAAAAATAATATTAAATAAGTATTTCCAATGTTTTAGGTCATACCTTAACATAATTATTAAATCATAACCAACCCCGAATATCTCTGTTAATTAATGTAGGGATAGAAGGGGACTTTGTAGACTACAAATAATTTATATCTATTTCAACTAATTTATCTACCTACCAAACCTTTTATAGTAACAAAAACAAGATAACTTCCATTTTATCACCTCTGTATATTATCTAGTAAGAAGTTAAAAGCATTGTATAGACCACAAAGGAGGCAACAGCAAGAGAGGGCAGACTAGGCTGCCTTTAATACAATGCACCATTCTTACATAAATATGCTTCTCATTTGAACGTAAAGAAGAAAATCTGGTAATTGATCACGTTATTAAGGAAGTCTACTTTCAGGGAATTCAACGTAGTAGCAGTTTGCCAAGAAATATGACTCCAATTGGTCCAATAGCTGTTGTAGGTAAAAGGGAGGAAGGGAGGTCGGAAAGTTAATTTTTATTGAGTTCTTAATGAGTGCCTGGCATTGTGACACGTGTTTACATATCTATCTGAAAGAAAGGAGTGAGGAAGTAACAATAAAGTTAAATTTCTTACCTTTCACCCCTGCTTAATCTCTCACTGAATCCTGAGTTTTACTTACATGATCCTTAGAATTCTTCCCTTTTGTTTAATACTTTTATAATTTGAGTTTGGGGAGGGAATGTAACAAAATTGAAGGCCCTGGAGTCAGAGAGCTTTGAGTTGCAGGTGAGTCAAACATTCTGAGTCTCAATTTCCACAAATACCTTCTTCATATAATTATTTTAAGTAGTAAGTGACATAAAATACATGAAGTACTTAGCATGATGCTTGGTACTCTGTAAGAACTCAGTAAGTGTTGGCTATGATTATTATTATTATGAAATGGTAAGGTGATGCTTAACTAGTTACTATGATTCGCTTAAAGCCATAAGTCAATTTCAGAGCAAAAACTAGAAGCAAGTTTCCCCAACCATCATTCTCTGTCATTTTCAATATTCTAGAATATTCCTGTGATGCAAAGATGTATTTATACATTTTCACAGTATTTACGTATTGCCAATCCATATAGATTTTATTAGTTCACTTGTAGTCCTTTAAAGACTTTCATATTCATTTGTAAACATCAGAATCTTTGCTCCACAAAGAGTATCCTTTGAACAATTTTATTTTTCATCAGAGACTAATTTCTACTCTCTTAGGATTGACCAACTTGATACTGGTCCAAGTATTGAAAAGATGTCATGTTTGTTAAGGTCACATTGCAAGAATGGAGGCAGCATGAACATTATAAGAGGAAGAAGTTGCCTGTCTACTGGAGTACCTGCTTTATCCCACTGCCCAAATCCTCAGTCGAGGGGACAAGAAACTTTAGTTAGGACGGCCACTTTGTAGAGTTTCTAGTAATGACAACTTTCTCATTATCAAAATTGTTATAGTGTGGAAAGGTTTGCTGATTACCAAAATTCTGCATTAATTAGTATTAACCTTACACCTATACGTTTAATTTTTTAAACTTTTATTAACTTTTATTCACTTAGTGAATTCATTGAAGAAACAGCATAAGTTTGATTATCAGTGTTCAGGAGCCTCTCTACAATATCACAAAGTTCTCAGTTCACTCAAAGCCAAAAATGAAATGGCTTCTGCCTCGACATTAGTATCAATTAGAAAGATTGGAGTTTTCACGCCAGTCTTCTTATCCCCAAAATATAGCCTTTCTTTTTAAAAGTTTCTTCTATGACTACAATAGGCAAAAAAAAATTTGGTTAAAGGGTACAATAAGAAATAATTATTAATTCTAAAGGCTTAGTGAGCTATAAGTAAATATTTACCACAAAAAACACATTTTTTTCCAAATGAAGCTTATTGTATTAATAATTATTATTTTAACTTCATTTGTTTTAAACAATACACTTTATTTTGGCAGATATAGAAGAAGTGAGTAAATCAACTGAGACAGAAAACAAACCAAAGTGAAAAATCACGATGTTCATTTTCTAAACCTAACATTAAGAAAAAGGCCCTTGAAAGTCTAACACTGACACAAAAGTGCTGCTGTCAAGATCTTAGCCTGGAAATGGATTCATGAGGTTCACAGAGCAAGAAAATTTTAGGAACTTATTTAGTTAAGTGCAACAGTTTTAAAACAAAAACTGTAGTCTCCTTCTGGGAAATGAAGAGCCAATTTAGCTATTAATGTTAAAATTAAAAAAAAATTGACATTTAAAATAAACCATTCTACCAGACACTTCAGTGATCAAATCAATGTTAAAGTAGTTGAATGAATGTATGCTGTTACAAAACATACCTACTAGGTAATTCAATAGTTTGTAAAGTAAAACTTAAAAAGTTTTATCAAGAAAAGGTTGAATTTGTATGCATTTACATTAATTTCTATCCCAAAATTATTATCTCAGTTCATGGGGTGTATAACGTTATCCCATACCTGCCCATGTAGAAATGCATATGTAACCTCAGTCAACACCAACATTTACAAGCCTTATATTAAAACCATGTTTTTAAAAAAACTATGCCTTACCTTCTATCAAATATGAATATTTATTCAGCTATCTTAAGAAAGGCTGTTCAGTCATTTTGTACACAACAGGTGTTTTATTTCAATTGGTATTGTTTTAAAGCTTTAGCAAATATTTATATTAGTTCCTCCCATTGACTCATAAGGTAATTATACATACCACAGTCTGATGGTTAACTTGAATCACTTCATCGCCAGCATGGATTTTCTTGCACCGATCTGCAGGTGACTAAATTTAACATAATGGAAATGATAAAAAACACAAATTTTATCAGTCATTTCCTTTCCCTGAAAATACTACAGTAAGTCTACATCTTTAAATTAGATCAAGACTTCAATTATCTTCTTTAAAAAATTAAGCTAATACAAATGACTACAAGTGTTTAATATATTGTTTGTATTCTATAGATAACTAAAATAATTGAAAGTTAAAATTTACTTGAAAAGTGATATCCAGTTTATTTTTTATTCATTTCCAATTTCCAATTATTTCAAAACAAAAAAGTCTTGAAGTAATATTAACCTCAATTCAACAAATTTTGAAATTCGCAAAAGAATTATCTGTCATAGGCCAGAATTCAAGGTAAGATGATATCTCAGACAAATCCAGTTACTCAAGTTATAATACAAGTAAACTCTTAAGAGGGTAGTTCATCTAGGATATTAACTCAACCCTAAGAATGGTATTGTAACAAGAAAAAAATGTATTTTTTCATAGCACCTTTAGAAGGTAGGCTTATTACCAAATCAGACAAGTATGATGCAGTAATTCTGACAAGTTTGTAAATCATTACTGTAACAGAGTTGTAACTATACTCAGTTCCTGTGCTATCTGACTCATAACTGATCTTTTTAAAGGAGAGTATAGAAGAAAAACATCAAGCCAATGGCTCTAGTCATGGTGTAAAAAGAAAATGATAGTTGGTATATAAAATTGAAAGAAACTGAACCAACCTCTTTCACAGATAAGTAAAAAAGGGAATAATATAAATTATAGACTTTCAGTGTTAAATGGGACTCTAGAGATCATTTTGTCCAAGCTTCTCATTTTACCTATGAGAAAATTAAGAAACTAGGGCAGAGCAAAGCAAAGTAACTTAACCACTTTAGTGAGCAGCTCTTTACTAAGACTCAACACAGATCTCCTAATGATAAATGACTAAGGATACCAAAAAGTATGAAATACTTTCAAGAATAAAGAATTAAGTGATGAGCCATTAATATATGGTTCATATCTGAACTACTCACAAAATCAATCTTTCTGTGATCACTCACCCATTTATCAAATATTACTGAGTAATTAATATGAGCTGTACATAGTGTTTAACTTTTTTACAGACTTCAGACAATATAGAAATGAATTCCTATCAATTTCTTCAAGATATAGTTCCACATAAACATTTCTGTGATTCCTTCTCTGGTTTTACTTGGCAGCATCTATGATTCTTTCCTTTGTCTGTCTATGCAAATTTCACTACCTGTTTACACACATAAACCCCTAGTTGCATTCTTTAGGAACAGCAAGCTAGTTTAGTTTAAAAATTCAATACTTAGCCCCTTGCCTGGAACACAGCAGACATGAAGCAAAGTTTGTTATAAGAACAAATGAATAAATGAAGGGTCAGAGGAATGTACAAAAAAATGAGAATGATCAATCAGTGACAGGAGTATAGTTTACAGTATATCACTGCATTTAAATTTTTTAAATGGTTGACAATAAGCATATAACTGATATTTCTGATCCCATATAACTTATACTTAATACCAAATGTGAAACCAGTACAGGAATCCAACTGCAATCTATATAATGTGTTTCACTATTCTCAAGAAACCAAGAGGAGTAGAAAAAAAAAAAAAACAATAAATGATTAATAAGTGAATTAGATGAAGAGAATGTTGATTTTTTTTTAAAAAAGAAAATGCTGGTAAGATATTGAGATCTATAATAATTAGAGATTAACTATCTCCGCCTCAGTCTTTGAAGGAACACAGCATTAATATGCAGTTAGTCAGAATTTCTAAAAGAAAAACAATTCATAGCTCAGCACCTACTTAAGAGTAAGATGGAAATCTGGGACAAACAAATATGGGAATAATGATTTATTACACTATTCAAATCTATTATACTGATAGTGTTCAGGCTCAACACGATCATTTCACATTTCTTTAGCTCTTTACAGCATAGCCTTACACATTTATTAGCTTATTTGATTTTCGTATCAACTTAGTGAGGTATGTAGTGCAGATAATATTTCCAATTTACAGCTGAAGAAACTAAAGCAATGATAGGGTAAGTGACTTGCCAAGAATTACACTGCCATTAAGATGTAGAACTAATTGTGGGACTTAGGTCTAGGGACTCTGACCCATGGCTTGCAGAGGTTCTCAAATTTGAGCATGTCTCAGAATTACCTGTTAAAACATACTCTCTTTTAATAAGAAACAGGGTGGTCTGCAGAATTTGTGATTCAGTAGTTCTAGGGTGGGGTGTGAGAATTTGTATCTCTAACAAGTTGCCAAGGGAGAGTGATGCTGCTCATCCAGAGAGGGACCTCACTGTGAAAACTGGTGAGCTATACCATGCTGTCTCTCCAATGAATTAAGCTGAATTATAATGCAGTATTCAGAAAGCCTGAATTATCTGATGCTTCTTTCTTACATAAATTTTTTAACATAACTAACCTATTTGACAGATGGAAGTGGATTCTTTCAGATGTCACAATAACTTGTCATAAACCAGAAAATACTTAAAAAGGCAAATATCTGGCTGTAAACAGAAAACATCTGATTTACTCTAAGTAACCAATTATTCTAAACTAAATGAAATGACTGAAATTCTTTCCAAACCAGCACTTACTAACTCAATGTGTCTTATTTAGTTTTTTCTCCTAATCTGTTCATGTCCTCAGAAGTCAACCTCAATTATGTGTGGTAAATAAGTTGTTTAACAATAAAAAGAAATACACACACCAAAATCTGAAATGTTACAATACTTACATTTTCTGTAGTTCCAGTAATTACATGGAGCCCATCATATGTTGATTTAATATACATACCCTAAGAAAAAGACAGCATCATAAAAACAAGTGAAGTGACTAGAATATTGGAATATTCAAGGATATTATAACCTCATTTACACACACAAAAAACTTATCCTATCAAAATGCTACAGGCCCAATGAATCCTTATTCAATAATGATGTCTTTAAACTAGTAAAAAATTCCTAACTGAATGTTCTGGTTTCTAAAGTTTGGCTGAAGAAGCCGGTACTCAACTTAATCAAGTAACTACTTGTTAAGTAAATTGCCTGTAAAATTTATAAAATGTAGCATGGTAATTCAATATCCTGAAGAAAGAACACAGCTCACTCCCCCAACGATTCTTACTATTTGTTCTGTGGCAAAATAAAAGTTATAATGGGAAATTCAAATACTGGTTATTAGCGTATTGTACTTGAAACAAATTACACAATAAAAAATAGGTTTCTACAGAGCCACTTCAAGTACAACTAACTAGAGACAGATGAGTAATAGAATACTGTTAATGTAAACTTTTTTCTCCAGCTCTTTTGTAGACCCCTGTATTTCCTGCCTTCATTTTTATTGATGAAATTTTAACAATTATATCCAATCACTTCTATATCAATAATTAAGAGGTAATGTGTGGCACATCCTCCGCCAAATAAAGAGGGTGAGATTACATTTTCCATTAAAATTTTTTTTTAATGTTTGTTTATTTTTGAGAGAGAGAGAGAGAGAGAGAGAGAGAGAGAGAGAGCGTGAGGTGGGGAGGTACAGAGAGAGGGAGCTGTCAGCACAGAGCCTGATAGCCCGATGTGGGGCTTGAACTCAGGAACCACGAGATCATGACCTGAACCGAAGTCAGATGCTTAAGGGACTGAGCCACCCAAGCAGCCCTCCATTTTCCATGTAAATAAGTCCATTTTAGGGATATCTGGGTAGTTCAATCAATTAAGTGTCAAACTCTTGATTTCGGTTTGGGTCATGGTCTCATGGTTGGTGGGATTGAGCCCTGTGTAGAGCCTGCTTGGAATTCTCTCTCTCCTCTCTCTCGGCCCCTCCCCTCATTTGCACATGCTCTCTCACTCTCTTTCTCTCTCTCAAAAAAAAAAATTAAATATGGAAACGCTCTATTACAATTTAAAGTTATCTAGGTATCTTGAAATTGTATAAACTGTAAAAACAAACAAAAACTTTAAATTATGGATAGTGATAGAACTTGAAGGGAAAAAAATATCACAAGAAAATATTCACATTATAAATGGGGGCACCTGGGTGGCTCAGTCAGTTAAATGCCCACCTTTTGGTTTTGGCTCGGGTCATGATCTCATGGTTGGTGGGTTTGAGCCCCATGTCCAGCCCCGTGCTGATGGTGCAGAGCCTGCTTGGGATTCTCTCCCTCTCTCTCTCTCTGCCCCTCCCCTGCTCTCTCTCTCAAAATAAATAAATAAACTTAAAACAAAATTAAATATTAAAATATTTAATATTTTATGGCCTTTTTTCCTCTCTAATGAAGATTCTGTTACTTTTCTCTTTGGGAAAATAATTACATGAAGTTTTACTAATACAAGTGCTTTGCATTTCAAAATATTGATTTCAAAAATAAAAAAAATACGAATTTTAATGAACTTGAAGTCTAAAATATAATGGACTTAAAAAAGAACCAATAGGGGCACCTGGATGGCTCAGTCAGTTGAGTGTCCGACTTCGGCTCAGGTCATGATCTCATGGTTCGTGAATTCGAGCCCTGCGTCGGGCTCTGGGTGGACAGATCAGAACCTGGAGCCTGCTTTGGATTCTGTGTCTCCCTCTCTCTCTCTGCTCTTCCCCAGCTTGCACTCTGTCTCTCCCTCTCTCAAAAATAAATAAACATTTAAAAAAAGAACCAACAATATCTTTTCAGAAAAGCACTTATTCTAGCACTTATGTAGACAGTTACTATATGTTAATTTCTCTTACCTTTAGGTTAATTGTGTATTTAGATAACTGAATGTGCATGTATTTCCATTGAAAATAAGTAAGAAATAAAAACAAGAAGAAGAAAAGTTCATGGGATAGTACTATTAAAAACTGGGTAGGTTTGGGGGTGCCTGGGTAGCTCAGTTGGTTAGGCGCCTGACTCTTGATTTAGGCTCAGGTCATGATGTCACAATTTGTGAGATTGAGCCCCATGTCAGGCTCTGCACTGACAGCGGAAGCCTGCTTGGGATTCTCTCTCTCCCTTTCCTCCATGTGCTCTCTCTCTCTCAAAATAAATAAACATTAAAAAAACACTGAGATTTGAATTAAGAAGTCATTTCAGTAATGTCTTCTGCCTAAAATGTTGAGGGGCGCCTGGGTGGCTCAGTCAGTTATGTGTCCAACTTCAGTTCAGGTCATGATCTCGCGGTTTGTAAGTTTGAGCCCTGCGTCAGGCTCTGAGCTGTCAGCACAGAGCCTGACACCTGCTTCAGATTCTGTGTCTCCCTTTCTCTCTGGCCCTCTCCTGCTCACACTCTGTCTTTCTCTGCCTCAAAAATAAATAAACATTGAGAAAATAAAAAAAATAAAATGTTGATATCTGTCCCCAAAATGGCTGAGCCTGGATCACTAATGTGAAACAAAATGAATATAATTTAAAAGGTATGTATTTACCTGTGAACTCTAGTTCCTTAAATGAAAGTTCATTACTTCATCTAAAATAAATAACTAACCTCAACAGAAGTGCAAATAGAAATTAATTAAAAAATTGGCCAGTAGTTGTTGCCTATGACCATATGGTAATATTCAACCTTACACTGGTGGCAAGTGTATACCATACTCACTTTCTAAGTTAATATTTATCTCATTATTTATGGGAAGGTAAATCTAATGGTGTTATTGTAGAAGTTAAAAGAGGACAAGATCCTTGCCATCATTTTTCTCTAGGCATTAACAAAATTACATCAGATTAATAAAGGATCTGAAGTATATTTGTAAGAGATAAACACTAAATTTTGTTTTAGGTTTTTTACATAGAAGTATTGTGATAGAATAAAGTGGGAAAAGACAGTGAAAGAAATAATATATATTACTTGGACATACAACAGTCATCACTTATCATTCTCTATCACAATCATCACAAATACCTACTTGTTAGCATGTGCCAGGGACTGTTTTAATTGTTTTCTATTCATTTCACAATAGCCTATGTGGTATAAACTATCATTATTTCTGTTTTAGAGATAAGGAAACTGAGGTACAGAGAAGCTAGGGAGTCTGTCCAAGGTGGTGAAGCCAGGTTTCAAGCCTAGGCAGTCTGACTCCAGACGACATTCTCAACCAGTAGGCTCCTGACTTACCGATTTATTAACAGAAGAGTTGTGCACCTTCACTTTTATTATAACATAATATTTGGCAATCGTAGATATTCAATTCAACCATTGACTGTTTAACACATATTCTGAAGACCTCTTTAGCCCACCTGCACAATGTGCAATGTGGTTATAAAGACTAACGGGCATTTTACAAACTTATTTTATTCATCTTTTCTTCTGAAAATGGTAAGCAGAAGTTGACTATATTTATCTCTACACTTCTTTCAATATTGTTCATTACTGATTACAAATTAAGGTGTCTGACAAGAGCTCTAAATAGTTTCATTAATGGTTAGGGCATAGAGAAAGTCTAATATTCTAAGATAAATGTTTAGAAAAGGCAGTACAGTCATGCAGATAATAAAAATTCATGGACATACTCTAGTTGTGCCTCTGGAAACAAAATTTTGAGCAATTATTACACAAACTAGGAACTTCAAGACTGGCAATTATAAGCTAAAGCAGGTATCTGTTATTTATAGGAAGAAAATCTCACCATTAATTATATATAACTATTACATGATTTATATTAAAGTTAATTTGTTCAGAAGGATAAAAATATATATTTTTCATTTTTAATGATTTTTTCAATGTTTCCTTATTTTTGAGAGAAAGAGAATGCACACAATCAGGGGAAGGGCAGAGAGAGAGGGGGACATAGGATCTGAAGCAGGCTCTGTGTTGACAGCAGAGAGCCAAGTGAGGGGTTTGAACTCATGAACCATGAGATCATGACCTGAGCCGAAGCTGGAAGCTTAACTAACTGAGCCACCCAGGTGCCCCCCAAAATATTTTTAAAATGCTTAAATACAGAAGGATCTAGTTATGTATAGAGTTTAATTCTAGCAACTTCATGGAAGCAATAGGATACAAATAAAGCACATTTTAAAACTGCCACAAAGAATGAAGATATTGTGTTATGCAATATTTTCATTTCAAACCTAATACGCCATTTGTTGTAACGTCTTTTAATAATAAAAACTGACTTCATAGTTTTTATCTCCCTTTGGTAGTATTAACGAGAAAAATGGCCAAAAAAGTCAGGTGCCCAAAGAAAGTATAAGCAGCAAGTTGCTTGGATGAGTTTCAAGTTAATCATCTTCCAAATAATGAAGAGTCCACAGAAATACATCTGATCATTTGTTCACCTTTCAGAAAGGGTCAAACAGTAGGAGGACATGTAATTCAAATGGCTCTATTTCTGGAACAGAGACAAATCTGGTCTTCCATTTCATCAAAACCTTCATTCTTCCTTATTCTTTTTTTCTTTTTTAAAACCAATTAATTAATTCCAGAGCTGACTTGAACAGTTCCCTCTCTCCTGCTTAGCTTGCCAAAGTGACATTTGCTTCACTTGGTCTCCAAATGTCAACCAATGGGAGTCAGAGCAACCTCACAGTCAAGTCAATGGAGTAGGGCATATTTGAGGATAATCCAAGTGTCTAATAGCAAAAGGACACTCTGAGGCCAAGAGGTTTCCCCAAGGATGTCTCCCCCAAGCCCTTTCTTCTCTGTTCAACTCATCTCTTGGTTCTGATCTAGTCTTGATATGTTGCAATAGTTCTCATTTTGCCTCCTTTAATTTTCTGCTAATCATTGTTGTTTAAAAACATTTTAGAAGCTAGTTTCATGTTTTAATCATAACTAAGTATGTTTCCCATCATTCCTTATAATGCTTATGACTCTGAAAACTAAGAAATCCTAGGGGATTTGACTAATTAGGTATAAAGTTGATGAACAATTTATCTAGTTCATCAGTGGAAGAACCAACCAGTTACCCTTTGCCTATGAAAGATGTTGTTTTGAAACTGGCAGAAGACCTTCTGCAGATGTTGTAAGCTAATTAAACTTCTTTAAATCTTGGTATACTCTCACCTCCTTCTATTTCTCTCCTTCAAGTACCATTTAGACATTTCTTATGGCTAAGCACATGCTAAATGTTACCAAAATTCTTAAATCTATTTATTTCAAATGTGACTGACTAAACTTGTTTATGTGGTGAATGATTTTTTTAAAAATTAAAAAAAAAATTTTAATGTTTATTTAGTTTTGAGAGAGAGAGAGAGAGAGTACGAGCAGGGGCGGGGCAAAGAGAGAGAGGGAGACAGAATCTTTAGCGGGCTGGGCTCTAGGCTCTGAGCTGTCAGCACAGAACCCGACACGTGGCTCAAACCCATGAACCATGAGATCATGACCTGAGCCAAAGTCAGATGCTCAATCTACTGAGCCACCCAGGCGCCCCAGTGAATGATTTTTAAAATGATACCTTGAATGAATCATATAAAATTTATATTTAGGCATCTCTTTAATATGAATCACAAGAAATAGTTTTTACTTAACTTTTTACTAATATTCAACATTTTGGGTTTTTCTTTTCCTCCTTTGGAAATATTTTCCCAATGAAGTGCTGCCAATTGTCCTTTAATAATGATTTCCCTAGGTGGTTCCAGTTTTACAATCACCCTCTGAGGGGCACCTGGGTGGCTCAGTTGGTTAAGCGTCTGACTCTGACTCTTGACTCTGGCTCAGGTCATGATCTTAGGGTTTGTGTGTCCCTCTCCCTCTCTCTGTCCCTCCCCTACTGGCGCTCCCCTTGCCCTGCCATCTGGCTTTCAAAATAAATAAATAAACTTAAAAAAATAAAGTCACCCTCCTAATTCTCTCACACTTCCGTTAAGCAATTTCAGCTTTAAATGTGGGATAATGGAACAAGCTTTGCTAATGTGTACTTCATTGAGATTTACCTGGACTTAAACCCTGGCTCTATTACCTATGTGATATAGGGCAAATTGGTGAAGATCTGTGATTCCATTTTCTCATTTGGAAAATAAGAAAGTACCTACTCTACAGAGCTGTGAGAAAATACTTGGCAAATGGTAAACACTCGTCTTTTTTTTTTTCTTCCAGTCTTTCTCAGACTAACTGAATCTGGTTGTTAGCATTTTAAGTTTATGACTGTTCCAAAGAGCAGACCCATATCTACCTCTTTCAAATTTAAAAAATAAAAGACCTGTCCAGGGCTATACCTTCCATTAAAACAAATCAAGATTTTGGGGCACCTGGTTGGCTCAGTCAGTTAAGCATCTGACTTCAGCTCAGGTCATGATCTCATGGTTAGTGAGTTCGACCTCACATCAGGCTCTGTGTGGATGGCTCAGAGCCTGGAGCCTGCTTCAGATTCTGTGACTCCTTCTCTCTCTGATCCTCACCTGTTCGCTCACTCGCTCCCTCTCTCTCTCGGAAAAAAATAAACATTAAAAAATTTTTAAAAAATCAAGATTTCATAATGTCCATTAATTAGCACTGTGTTGACTCACTTCACAAGGTTACTTTCCCCAATGATTTCAGGGGAAATTGGTGGGGGAAAAAATCAGGCTCTTTTCTCCAAATACTGTCCTTAGAACCACAGGCTCATAGAGTTAGAGGAAGCTTTAAAGATGAACTAGTCCACCCTCCGTTTCTTCCTCCAACATTCTATGCATGAAACTAGCAAGGCCAAGGAGGTTAAATTTACTCCTCCACCTCCTCAAGATCACACTCACGGCTATATTTTATGTAAGTGATTTGTAACTAGGTGTCCTGACTCCTAATCTAAAAGAATATATACTAATTCCTAATCTCCCACTCCACAAATCATGCTGAGAGAGCTTCCTTTCTTTATAACTACTGAAAAACGGGGTGCCTGGGTGGCTCAGTTGGTTTAGCGTCCAACTCTTGGTTTTGGCTCAGGTGGTGATCTCATAGCTTGTGAGTTTGAGCCTTACATCGGGCCCTGTGCTGACAGTGCAGAGCCTGCTTGGAATTCTTTCTCGCTGCCCCTTCCCCTCTCTCTCTCTCTCTCTCTTTCAAAATAAATAAACTTAAAGAAATATAACTGCTAAAAAGGGAAACATAAAAAGGAAAATCTTCAATACTACAGGTTGAAAGATGCTTTAAATGAAACTGGACTGTGTAAAGATAGCCAAAGGGAACGGTAAGAATTTAAAATCATAAGTATTACTTCAAATAAATTTATAAATATTAAAAATAAACTCTTAAAACTAATTAAATTTAGATACTATACTTATAGGCTATGATGATGGTATACTTGCTGGCTTTTTGATATACTGATTTCCATCTTCCTAGGAAAACACTGATAAAAGGTACAAAAGCAGGAGAAACTATAGTTATCAAAAAGTAATTTGCCAAATATCAGGAGAAAAGTCATTCATAATATAGATGGCTTCACAGTGAAAAATCACTATTATGCATTGAATAAAAGCCACATAAAAAGCTAAACTTGCTTATAGATCTTTAAGAATATATTACTTGAATTATATTATTTCCAAGACTTCTATTTTCTAAATATCAATAATTATATCCTATGAAAATTCATCTGCAAGGAGAAAGGAGAAACACTGGAGCACCAAACTAATAATTTACAATTGTGTAGGGGGTAAGATGTTCTCCAGTCAGTTTCCTGTTTTTTGTCTCTCTCATTAATATTAATTTTATATGCTTTATTTCTAGAGGCCCATTAAAGAAATTTAACCTCTGGGTTAAATTTATTTTTTATTTTTTTTTTCAACGTTTTTTATTTATTTTTGGGACAGAGAGAGACAGAGCATGAACGGGGGAGGGGCAGAGAGAGAGGGAGACACAGAATCGGAAACAGGCTCCAGGCTCCGAGCCATCAGCCCAGAGCCTGACGCGGGGCTCGAACTCACGGACTGCGAGATCGTGACCTGGCTGAAGTCGGATGCTTAACCGACTGCGCCACCCAGGCGCCCCCCTCTGGGTTAAATTTAGAACCAATATAATTTTTAATCAAGTGAATAAAATATAGAAGATGATTATATTATATAATAAAAAATATATCTCTAGATGTCAACCTAGTTTTGGCAAAATCCACCTGCTTACTGACTCTTTTAAGAAAGAATGGATGTGAGTTATAAACAATATTGGGTTTGTTTAGCTTATACAACCTAAGAGAAAAGAGTCCTATTAAAACCAGTACAGAACAAAGCAAAACAAACAAAACACCTACTGGCATGGGCAGGTAACAATGTAGTTCTTAGTATAAAACTGTTAAACTTCCTTTAAACCTAAGGAACTTTGGTGGGGGGGGTGAAAGAATGTAATACAAGCTAATTTATCACAGGATAATTTAGAAATCGCCATTTTAAATTCCTTTTCATTTTCACTTATCTTCATAAAACTTCTTTTCACAACAAACTCCCACTACTTTAATTTACCTCTGGAAAAAAAATACCAAAATATTCTAAGTTTGTTAGAATTTATGGATTCCCATATTTGGAGGCTACTTTGCCCACATCATTAGCCATCCAATGATGGATGGTGGCTTTGATAAACATGGTAGCTCTTACCAGCCCTTCACTTGGTTTGATGTTTGCCAGCTGAATCACTTCTAGGTGGGCAGACTGTGAAACCAGAGGATCTGATGACAGGGATATGATGTGGTCACAGACTCCAGAAAGAGTTTTACACTGAAAAAAAAATTAGGATGAACACATGTTGTATGTAACACGTGAATCACTTTTTGTTATAACTTTCTTACAAGAAAAAATTAAAGAAACATAAGCGGGTGACTTTTTTTTCTATAAAATCTGCATAAAATAGGTATTCAGGTGAAAAAAACATAATACATACACAACACACCTATATTCTAAATTATGGATACAAGAAATAAAGATCAAAATACAAGAAAGTTATGGTTTTGTTTCTCTTGTTTGATTCATCAGACCTAAAATCAAATCATTATTCCTAAATAATCTTAATAACCACACAACTTATTGATAACAACCTCTGGATGTAACTAAACTCAATAATTTCAAAACCACCAATGATATGATCAGAAAAGTTTAAAAACAATCCAGTAAACGACCAAGAAGATGAATGTTCCAAGTCTGCTCAGTGAACTTCTCCTACTTATTTGTATATACTTTACTGTTCAAGGTTACCTTTCTATAAATTTCCTATGTCCTTCAGGTAAAGTTTGCCACTTCTTCAACACTGGTTTCTCAGCATTCTATGAAGTGTAAAATTGCATAAATTCTAAAATTGCTTCATTCTGAATCCCTTGAGGCAGAAGCCATGTCTTACTCATCTCTGACTTCTCTTCCTCCCCCTTCCCCACACCTCCACACCAGGTAGAGAGATCTTACAACATATAAGGTACTCAGTAAATACGAGCTGAATAAACTGAGGAACAAAGGAGCTTTAGCACTTAGTAGAGTGGCTTGACTGAGGACAGAGAGCTAATACTTTAGGTTAGGATAAATCTATTCATGCTGCTATAGAACAGATATAAATATGTTAGAGTGAGACATGGTAAAATCATGAAGAGTGGAACATAAGTGAATGACGCTTGGAGTATACTTTCCTCAAATATGCTAGCCCTTAGAAACTTCAGACTCTCACTGTGCTTATTGGAACCAGGTGTCCATCATTTGGTTTCTTCTTCTTCTTCTTCTTATTTACCTTTATTGTAGGAAGAGCTATTATTTTCCAGCAGTCAAGGTGTCATTTTCTGTCCATTTCCAACATGTTACATTTGTTCTGTGACCACTACATTACTCAATTGTAAGGGAGACAGTTCTCTCTGTCTGGTCAAGATAATAATGACTCTCTTCTTAGTTGCTACACTCTTTGTACATGGCCCGTGGCCTCTCATTCTGCACTGGGTTCAGCTTCCTCATACCAAACAAACTGCCAAACTAAATTTCCCTTGTAATTTCACTCCTTTTTGCATCAACTTCTCAAGGCTGCACTTTTATTGCAGCTATCAGCCTCCAAAGTGAGACATTAGTTGGTAAGATACCAATAACCATGGAAAGAACATGGGCTTGATATAAAGATAGATGTGGGCGATCATCACAGTGCCAGTTACTTGCTGTGTAACTGTGAGCAAGTTATTTTATATCCTTGAGGCTCAATTTCCTCATGTAGAAAATGGGGTGATAAAAATTGCTCTATATGACAAATCAGGTTAAGGTATAAAGAAAGAGCGTAATATGGCTCCAATCCAAACAAGACACTATATAAATGCTTATTTTTCCCCTGTTGCTTTCTCTACCCTCAGAGGGCTTAATCTTTACTCATGAGATGAATAATCTCATTATTCTTCATTACACGGCCGTGTTGACCATTTTACAATGACCAGTGATTACACTGCGTGGCCATAATGGGAGAGTTCACATCTCTTTACTATTTCTGATGTTCAAATCTCAATGCTCAGATACAATGAAGGTATTTACCCCGAAAAGCTGCTAAGCATAGTGCCAAGAGGAATACCACTTCTTAGAAACTGGGAATTCTACAGGGCCTGATGTATTTGACCTGTGCAATTGCATAGGGGGCTGTACTTAGCATTATGCTCTGCTGTTGAGGTCTTGGAATTCTCCATTGTTCTTGAACAAGGGACTTGACATTTTCATTTTGCACTAGATCTCACATGTTTGTAGCACATCTTGGCACCCTAGTTGTGTGTGTGCGTGAGCGTTTTAATTCCTCTTGAAAATATTCATCAGCAGCCATGGGGGAAAGGACAGAATGGCAGTACTCAACATACAAAAACTGGCTGCATTTCAAATTGTTGATGTTTACAGGAAAGAAAACACTTTTGGGCAGATTTAAATCTTTTAGCTATTCCTTTCCTCCCATGTATGGCTACATTTTCATTCTTATTTTCTCTTTATCTCAAGAGGGTGATAATATTGTTAATTCTTAAGCATTTCTAAATAGGATACTTGGATTGCATATTTTGATAATCTCCTTTGATAATCTAAAGGAGATATAATCTAAATCAGTACTAAATCAGTATACTAAAAAGAAACCTTTGTCGTTTCTACAAATTGAATTATTTTAAAAGTCCAATGCATAAATAAATAGGAAAGTAATGGACATATTTAAATGGCTCAACATGTGTACATGACATCATTCAGGGCCTCATACGACACACTGGTAATGAGCAATAGCAGCTCTCCAATTCAGGCACTGGAAGCACTTAGAAGTGGGGTAGAAGAAGGAAAGGCAGAAATACTAGACTGTAGACATGTTTACAAAAAAGAAAATACCAATTAAATCCACCGTATTAAGTTGCAAATCATTTTCTCAGATTCCTCTTCTTGAGTAATTTTGTTTGCCAAATACTTGCTATGTGCAAGGTCTGCTGGAATACAAAAGATGAGTAAAACAATGACTTTACCAGAAAAGCCATCAGGATTTAACAGATTAAAGATCTTGAAAAAAATAATAAAAAGACTTAGAAAAGAAACTCCACTAGAACCTTGCTGCCTGTTTTAGAGATAATGTACTAGAACCTTTATATTATAGTATTTGGCACTTGACTTAATAAGCCAATTAGAAGGGGTATAAAGCCTGGTTTTATATGCTAATTCTACACTCATTACTGCATCATACATCAAGCCACTGCAGGAAACCACATTAAAAGTACTAGGCAAAGTTCCAGGGAAGTTATTTGACACATTCTTGTAAAAAGCAAATTTGCTCATTCAGTAAAATCACGAGATATTATGTTGTTAACATTTTAAAACACAGCATTATCTACTGTTACCTAATTTCTAGAAAAAGAAAATTATAAGATAGCAAGAAAAATACATCTTCTATTATTATAAGTGAACATCAATATTACAGAGAACCTATAGCGTATCTGGCACAATGCTAAATAGATGACCTTTGAATGACATGGGTTTGAACTGCGTGGGCCCACTTATACACAGAATTTTTATAGTACAGTCCTGTAAATGTATTCTCTCCTCCTTAGGATTTCCTTAATTACATGTTCTTTTCTCTAGCTTAATTTATTATAAGAATATACTATAAATACATAAAACATACAAAGTATGTGTTAATCAACTGTCTTATAGGTAAGGCTTCTGGTCAACAGTAGGCTATTAAGTAGTTAAGGTTTTGTGGAGTCAAAGTTATACATGGATTTTTTTTTTAACTGCATAGCAGTTTGGTGCATTGTTCAAGGTTCAATTATACTTCATATTCATTGTCTCATTTATCCTTATAACAACTTCCTGAAGTAGATATTATTATAGCCAGCATAGCAGAGGAGAAAGCAAGGCTAAATAAACAGATCAAGGTCCATTGCCTTGGAAGAAAAAGGACTTGAATTCTTCATCGTTATGCTTAACATCTCTCATTTCAATCCCTAAGTTGGAACTTGTTTTGATCAATTTCTTTTTATATTGCTTAATCCTATGTCTGTATGAAATGGATGTTATATAGTATGTTTAAACTATATACTATAATGAAATACAAGGCAATTCTGCAAACATTCTTGCAATCTAGAATGCCATTTAGATAAGGAATAGTAGATCTGAGAGTGTGAAAGACACAGCTCTCTGGGAAAATGTAAAGCCATATTTGCAGCAGCAGGACAACTCTATCCTAGCTAGAAGATGACTTGGTAACCACCTGTATTAAGGGGATTCTTCTGGTATTTCTGCAATATTCATACCAAAGAATTTTTAATTCTATTTATCTTTAGTTCTAAAAACAGAAAGAAAATTTGAACCTAAAATTAAACCTAGTAAATAATATGCCTTTAATAAAGTTAAAGGGAAACTTAAGATAGCAATGAATATTATAACTGACCTTGTGGATTCTGTTATGAGCTACCCATGATGGTAACAAAAAATAGTGACTAAATAGCAGGTGACAGGGCTAGCTAGGACTTAAGAACCTTTTAAAACAAAAGAGGGTCATGGGCTAGAAGTAATGGTACTGTGACTTTTTTCTCTCCAACTGTTCATATTAATTTCAACTATGAATTAATAGAGCATGTTCTCAGAGTGAAATGGGAAGTTTTCATATTCCATTCTATATACATCTTATATTTTACATACATTTGCACACACACACACACACACACACACACACACACACACACCTGGTTCACCCAAATCTAAAAGTTCAAAATGGAAAAAACACCTGAACACAGCAGGTTTAGTATAAAATTAATGGTTTTAAAATAGTTGTAAAAGCAACATTTTAGTCACTGTGGAGATTGAAAAAACAGCACCCTTACATTAACATATTAACTAATAATAACAGTATTATTTCATTATCACTGAATTTATCAAATAGTTTTTAGATTACTATGTAAAGTTTCAGTGATTATGTTTTACAAAGGGAACACAAAAAGTATTCTAAGTACAAACAATAGTGAAAACCTAAGGGAAAGGAAAGAAGTCTTTCCTATATTAGTTACCATCAGAACATACTCAGACATGATTGAGCTACTTAAAGTATTTTTATTTGTTTTTCTAGATAAGTGAAGTGCTGGAATCAGTTATTCTGAATGTATTGGAGGAAATGAATGGAACTATCTTTAGGTTAAAAAATCAGAAATTCATTTCAATTAAGAAAGAACTTCAGGCTCATAAGCTGAACAAGAGATTCTACCACCCCTCAAAAAAAGATTTTACAAACGGACATTTCTAGAAACTCTTCA